GAAACTCGACTCCAGAAAGAACTATGTGACTGAAATTGTAGATTACCTACAACTTTGAAAGAATTAATTGTATAACCACATACCGAAGTTTTGGAAAGTATATACAGTAATGTGGCGTTTATAACTGTAAGGGGGCGATACGGTAACGTGGTGGATGAAGGGTTCGCTTCTCATGCTGAAGACAAGTGTTGCATAACCAGCATGCATGGGTTTAATGAGTGAAGTCTGGTGTCCTTCACCTCAGCACTGCTGGAGTATTGCAAAAAGAGCCGTGAAACAATACCTACTCTCTTTCACTACAATGATCGAGTTTAACTCACTCTAAATGGAAAGATGTTTCTTGCAGTTAGAATGCCAAGTATCGGATTACCCACAAGCATGGGTACAATGTGTGAAGGCCAATTCTGGCGTCCTTCACCTCAATACTGCTGGACGATTGCAAAAAAGAGGAGTACAACAATACCAACTGTCTTTCACTAGCAGTATAATGATCGAGTTAAATTCACTTTAAATATATACCTGCTTCTCGCAATCAGAATGCCCATATTATCCAGTGGGATGTACCGTAGAACTCCATTGGATAAATGGGTGAGTGAGTGAGTGCGCGAGTGAGTGAGTTGTGGTTTCTCCGGTTTGGGCAATATTCCAGCAACAGGACAGAGACGGATACAAGAAATGGGCTTCACCAATGTGGGGAATCGAACCCGTGCGTGGTGTGATCGACAAACGCATTAACCACTAATCTACCCCCCTGCAATGAAGTTCGGTTGGACAATGTAAATTTTGATAATCATCATTAAACATAAGGTAATGCATCATTCAACTCTAAGGAATACCTAAACTGGTGTCTACATGCAACCTGATGACCAACCCCAACTAGTACATACATTGGGAAAGTTAATTGTATCGTTATGCATGGTCCAAGAGTCCGGCGACTAATCTCGCCCTCAGTGTGGGACATATCTGTCACCGATATCCTTGCAGTGGACTCGTAAAAATATCCTGATTGAAATCTTTCCAGAAGGTAATAAGACAACAAGTACCGACTAGCGACCGGTACGTACCCAAGAGACCATGTAAAACTCTATACAGTCAGAAACAATGCACTAATACGCACTTTGTCTACACGTGTGCAGAAGCGCGATATGTGGCACAAGGTTATACATGCAACGATCACGTGATAGGATTTAGGATAAAATTACCGATCGTACATGTGATTAGTGGAAATACCTAACTGACGAATTACGACCTAAACGTACTCGCAGAAATATGTTGAATAAGCGTTATATATTCTTGTATAACGACCTGCACGTGCTGGTAGAAAAATGTTGAATAAGCGCCATTATTCTTGCGTGTATTATTCAGACAATAAAGATCATGTTTTATAAGTTACGGTGACGTAAAAGGGATTTTACTCATTTCATAATTGTTATGCAGGACATGTACCCTGTTCGTAGACACCTGGTGTCATTACTGATTTTCAAGTGAATAATTTTCACCAGTGTTGTGGTTTCTTGGTTGGTTGGTTGGTTGGTTGTTTAACGCCGCACTCAGCAATATTCCAGCTATATGACAGCGGTCTGTAAATAATCGAGTCTGGACCAGACAATCCAGTGACCAACAGCACGATCATCGATCAACGCATTTGGGATACAATGACGTGTCAACCAAGTCAGCGAGCCTGACCACCCGATCCTGTTAGTCGCCTCTTACAACAAGCATGGGTTACTGAAGATCAATTCTAACCCGGACCTTCACGGGTCATGAGTCTTATGCTTCCCCTGCCCAATGGAATCTGTATTTAACACAAGTCACAAAAGGCACCAGGGCCCCGTTCCTCAAAGCGATCGTAGCGCTAAGGTGATCGTAACTCCCATACTTTAACATAGACTTACGACTGTCGTAGCGCTACGATCGCGCTTTGAGGAACGGGGCCCTGAACGTTGCAAGAGTTGCCGAAAACAAACAAAACACAGTTGTGATACCTGTACCAAATACATCGGTATCATGTAGCCATCTCCTGCTTGTTTCAGTTTTAGATATACAATCATAGGTGTACACTTTCCTTGTACGGTAGGATACCCCGGCTCAATTTGTGTTTACGATCCTACAATTTAGAATTTAAATAGACTCAACGTTTTTACGTAAACTACGCGTCTGCTTACAGAGATTTATTTATTTGTATTGTTAAACCTGTTTGACGAGTAAATCGAGAAAAATAAATATTTAGACGCTATTCTCACTGAATAGCTACAGTCACATGCTGGTTCGAGGACATGATCAACACAATACAGACGTGGTGATAGAATACCGACGTGGTGTAATTATACCAGGAAAAACTATATAAGTTTACGGTCAATTATATCATCAAGATCGTGGACCAGGATGTGTTAATTCGATTCCCCATCCTGGACTGAGTGTCTGTAATCGGATATCCTATTCGGGTTACTGAGATGAAACAAGGATGTAGAACTCGTCGTTAAAAAAAGTCGTTCAAACGCTTTGTAGAAATTCTTTGTAGGCTTTCAAATTCACCACATAGCTTCATTCATAGTCATATTTGAACATGCCTGTGGACCCAAGTGGAACTAACTGAAGCATGCAAAACGATAAAAGATAGCAATGCTATGTCTCTGTAATATAGGCAAATCTCAGTTAAAGTTTATAATGGTTATCTACAGTAGTAATAAATGGTCTAATATCCTTAACTCCATATATAATAAATGGGAAAACTGTTAACGAAATATTAATAATTCATATTTCCATCTGTTTTTTCCTGACAGCAGGAAGTTTGAGGCATACATATTCAAATACGTGGCTTGTAGATGAGATGCTTCGTTCTTTCAACACTTACAGATATGGTAATGCTGTTGAACTGAAAAGAATTTAGATTAAGGACTGTTTAACTGTGCGAGACAGCCCATGCTACCGAACTCAGAAATACCTATTCATAACCAACTTGTTGTACAGCTGGCCTGTCACTGATACTGGAGACAAAAAAATATGTTTCTAGAACACATATGGAACGTTTTTCTCAATTCTGTCGGAAAAAAAGTAACAAGGGCGAACGCTTGTTATTCTTCCTCTACCCAAAACACATATATATATATACATGTATAGTTTTGTCGGTTAACAGTTGTTGGCAGATGCCATTGTTTTTACTACGAAAACGATTTTTATGAAACCGATTTCTGTAATTGGCAATATACATGAATGACGCATGTGATTTATCGTATTGAGGTGATTGTATTTTTTTCATTACATCATTACATATGTAACATGTGCAAGTACATATAAAACACATTTCAATATATTTCTACGAGCACGACGTTTAGTGCCAGAGCTAAACTGTAGCCTTACATTATTACAAATGGTTCGCTATGTTGACGTGAACATGCATTGCACTATGAGTTTACAGTATCGGTACTGAAACTGATTACAAATGAACTGTCAAAATAATATTTACAATAACTGCATACATATAGAAAATTATTTATAATAAAATAATAAATTCAACTCACGATATGTAAAACTCTCAAACATGATGAGGTTTGTCAAACCAGATGCATTAATAGCAACAACTGCCATTATAAATTCAGTCAGTCAACGACTGAGATAATATCAATTCATGTTCCAAAGAATTCCAATTTTTGGAACTGTCATACTCATTCTTTACAAAATCAGATTCAATAGTATCGATAATTACACAAATCATAGCTTTTTGCTATTCATTAGATGAGATGAACAGTGCATCATTGACACGCATTGATATGAACATTATTCATACATATTCATATAACATATACAAATATGTACTTACTGATGACATGTACCAACAGTGTGGTTCGTATTTAAGAAAATATTAGATATTTTAAATCAGGTGTCAGTTGCTCTCATTAAAATGTACTGAAACAGCTGAGCAAATAACTATCACAACTCACTACCATTTTCAATCAGTATGTACAGCCTAACATCAAAGTTCCGATTAACAGTTTAACTGTATATAGTGTAAGAGATCTAGACATTCATCGAGATGTGACTGGGGCGGTTGGGTGGCCTATTGGTTAAAGTGTTCGCTAAAAGGTCCGGATTCAGTTCTTATTATGGATTCAGTGTGTGCAGCATGTTCCTTGTGTTTCCCCGTTATGGTGATGCTGGAATATTGCTGAAAGCGGAATAAAACTATACTCATTTGCTTTCGAGTCACTCCTTACCTGTGAGAGGTGAGGTGAGGTGAAACTGGGTTTAACTTCGTTCTTGAGAATATTTCGCTCATATGACGACGTGCATGCGTGTGTATGTGTATGTGGCTGCTTGTACTAGCCCAGATTTAAGCTGGTTTTATAGTGCTGAGATACCATGCCGCAGTGAAGCATGGATACCCCACTCAGACACATTATACTGACTCCGAGCCGACAAGGCAATACATGTATATACTTAATCTAACCAGAGTTTTGAGTTTAATCTAACAACTGCTGCTGGTTGGCCATATTGAAATAAATTTCATATTTTTATGCCAAAATCGAAACTTAACCCGCCTAAAGATCCGGTATGAATCCGGTCTTTAGCATCCCACACTTGTTGACTGACGTGCGATCGCGCGGTGAGTTTGTTGATGCAGGTCGTCGTATCCAAATTGTGTACATGCTCATGATGTGGATCACTGGATTGTCTGATCTAGACTCAATCATTAACAGACAGCCATTATATAGGTCCAACATTGCTGGAGGGCGTCGTTAAACAACAAAGACACCTTAAGTTAACCCCTATGGTCAGGGCCAATCGCATTTTAATTAGAATAAATATGGACAAATCTAAATGCACTTTTCACGTTTTCTCAGTCCCAGCTCGTGTATACAAACAACACAAATCTGAAGCATCAGAGCACCCAGACCCGGGTACTTAGTGCACAGCAGCTGTTATAGAGCACTAGGCGTATACCGCGCTGAGATCTCGCTAGACAATGACATCACCAGTCCTCTGTGAAATAATGAGCGAGCTGTGTTTGACGAAACAGACTTTAAACAAATGAAGGATGTTGTACGCCTGAGGAGAAGTACACCCGAGAAGTGTTTTATCTGACATAATTCGAAACTTTACCTTTTTATTATCGCAAAAACTGTTTACCTTCAATTACGCTATAACGAAGGTAATGGACACCTGATACGCGTTACAACAAAATGTCATCCCTCAGGCTTATACGCTTTGTTCGTGCTTGCACGTGCATGCCGCAAGACATGTAATCACGTGACCACGTAGCAACAGTAAGGAGGTTGTCTCTACTAACTCAATGAACAGACAGAATGATGAGGGCGCAAGTTGTAGAGGATGATAATGATGATGATGGAAATGGTATGATAATATGGATGAGATACAAGTGCTTGTGATAAATAAAGTTTGTCTTTACAACTTTAATTGTACATCTTGCATAGGTATACGCTAATCTAAGTGTTACTATTTTAAATGGGTCCATTGTTTTGTCAGATTAATGTCATTATCGGATAAACGAGTATTTGAGTAATGAGGGTGACCTTTTTAATTGAGTTCTTAAAACAGGTTTTCTCGTAATGTTACAAGTTCATTTGTGAAGGATTATTGTAAACATTCATTAAACCTACGTTGTAATTTTGACGCCAAATACTTTTGAGGCAATGCAAAAATCAAGCAATTCCTTCTGTTTCAGTTCTGCGGGAGAGAATACAGATATTTTCCTATTTTACCCCAAAGTAAAGCGGTCCGAATCTACAAGAGGTCATCCGACGAACAAACTCGCTCCGACATCATTACAAAGGAGGTACAGAAAGTCCCAAGACACCCGCGGATACCAAGGGAATATCTGATAAGCTGCCTACCCTGTCTACAGCTTCTGTTGTGTCCGCTGAAGAGACTGTCAGCCGTGACAAAACTCACTTCACACTGAACTTCAATTTCTAATGTATTTGAGAAAAATATGTCAACAGTTTGTGTATAAAGAATGATTCGTGATTGTCCGTTATTTGTTGGAAAGTCCCTCCCCTGCTGTACGTCACAAAAAGTGAACTATTAGAAGGATACCACGGAAATCGCATCAGATAAACCTGGGAATTCCTTTGTACTTACATGGGTATTCCTCAGTGACCCGTGAAGATCCTGGTTAGAATTGATCTTCAGTAACCCATGCTTGTTGTAAGAGGCGACTAACGGGATCGGGTGGTCAAGCTTGGTCGACACATGTCATCGTATCCCAATTGCGTAGATCGATGCTCATGCTGTTGATCAGTGGATTGTTTGGTCCAGACTCGATTATTTACAGAACGCCACCATATAGCTGGAATATTGCCGAGTGCGGCGTTAAACAACCAACCAAACCAACCCAAATATTCCTCAGTAATTCCCGGGGTGTTCTTGATGTAACACTTTCAAACAGGGCTTCACTTAATTGGACTAATCACACAGTTCACTTAGCTCACATAGTTTTTGTTATAACCACCCGGTGTCGAGATGTAGAGGGGAAGCCCGGTGTGGTGCAGGGGTTAATAAGGGTGAATCTGGGATTGCAATCTCCGATAATTGAAGCCTGGTTCGGCTAAGGGAGGGAACTCTGAGAGAAATGAGGTACTTCGGCATCTGGGACATCGATTTAGTCTTCTGTAAAATACTTTTTATCACAAAAAAAGGAATTAAAGTGATTCGTTTTAAAATGTTTAATAGACAATGGTTACTGACAGTGAATACAATACGACGTTTCAGCTGTATTCAAACCATGGCCACTTACAATACGAGACACCGAAACAGGCTTCCAACGCTCACTTCATGTTGATATTTGAACCCGGAAGTTCGAGCGAGAGGTTTCAAACCACTGCCCGATCTGACACGGGAAACCGGTCACGCAATTAGGGGTGGGGAGTGGGGATAGGGATGGAACAGCATGGGAGGGGTGTGGGGGTGTGTGGATGGGGATTATGAAACCTATTCCAACCCCATCTTACGAAACACCATCCACTCATGCCCCTTCCTAATAAACACCGCCCCACCCTATCCCCAGGGTCTGATTCAACCCAGAATGACCCTCATCGTCCCAGTCAGTGTAAAACATTATCCCTGAACTGCCTTCAGATTGTGAAAGACATAAGTAGAGTTTATGTGGTGAGTGAGTGGGACAATCACGTCTCCCCATTCGGCTCACGCAACACACTATAGCTTCCTGGTTCATTGGTATTCCCGTCACGAAACACATACCATAGCATCGTCACCTACGGCAATCATCTCTCGCTGCTAATGCTGAATAACTTCAACACACGTGCCACGTAAATATCAATCATCTGTGGAATAAATACGGTTTCAGTATTCAGTTTACAGTACTTAATATAGTCTTGATTTCCATTACCTTATATCAATAACCACGTTTCCTCGTGGACGAGTTGGTGGATGTGATGGGGGTGAAGTTTGGTATTGATTCGGTACTTTGTGCCACAACGTCGCAGTGTGGGAGAAGGATGGAGGGGGTGGGGGTGACAGTCAGTGGAGAGGGGTGGGGGTGGAGTCAGTGGCGAGGGGTGGGTGGTGGGTGTGGGATGTGTGGTGAAGTCTGTGGCAGGGGGGGTTGGCATGAAATCAGTGGCGAGGGGGGTGGGGGGTGGGGATGGGGGTTGAGTGTAGGGTGTGTATGTGGTGGGGTAGGTGGGGGTGGAGTCAGTGGTTTTGGGGTGGAGTCAGCGGCGAGCGGTGGTGGTGGTGGGGTTGGAAGGAGTGGGTGGTGGGGGTGTCTGAGGGGGTGGTTGAGACAGTGGCTGGGGCGGTGGTGGTGGAGTCAGTGGTTAGGGGTGGGGTGTGGTGTGTGGAAGAGTCAGTGGTAAAGGGTGTGGTGTGTGGGAAGGGGATGGAGTGGGATGTGGGTGTGTATGGTGTTTGGGGGTTTCAGTGGCTAGCTATGTCGAGGCGGTGGGAGGGATGAGGATGGGTATGGTGGAGTCAGTAGCTAGGACTATGGGGTGCGGAGTGTGCGAGAGTCAGTGGCGGAGGGGTGGAGGATGTGTGTGTGACGCGTGGTTTGTGGGAGAGACAGTAGCTAGGGTGGGGTTGGGGGTGGATGGGGGATTGGTGTGTGCGTGGGAGAGACAGTGGCTGCGGGTGTGATGGTAGGGATGGGGTGGTTGGTGTGTGAGAGTCAGTGGTTAGGGTGGTGTGGGGGTGGATGGGGGATAAGTGGAGTTTGTGAGAGACAGTGGTAGGGGTGTGGTGGTAGGGAGTGTGGAGTGTGGCTGTACTAACTGCAGTATAACATTACCTTGTGTACAATAATTATAAGGACGCACAATGTATACACATATTCAATTTACCATTAGTACATATGATAATCCCAGAAACGCCGCATCAGTTTACACCTGTCACGTGCCACAACAAAAACGTAATTAGCGTGTAACTAACACACACACACAGCTCATATACACAACAGTATTATGACTCCTGGGACGTACTGAAATAACATCTAACAACAAAAACCCGGCCCTCATAATATTGTGTCATTAAAGGCACATTCAGTGGTTCCGTAATTGGCTCATTTCAGCAAATCGCACGATGTATATTTTCGTGTCTGTTGGTCTTTAATTTGACGGATTTGATTAATCCAGCAATTTCATATTAACCCTGCTACACAGGTATCACAAGTTGTTAATATGCAAACATACTATATACAGACAAGCGTGATGAAGAATAGAAACTATTTAATGAATAATCTAAAATTAGTATTGCTACTTCCTCTTTACTCTGTCACCTTTTGTATTCCATTGCATACAACAAGTTGTTCAACCAGTCTATTAACTATAATTGTACTGAAGCTAAATCTGTAGACAAAATGGGAGAAATATAGAAAGATATTGCCTCAGTCTATGAAACCAACCTTTGATGAAGCGACGGGAACTTGAGTTAACAGGCCAGGCTTACCCATCCGAGTGTCACGGCCACATACCATGCTGGCTTACACCAGCAACGCCAACAACAACCTGCCGACTTCTACGCCACACCTCCGGGTGGTCGGTTACACACGAAATATAGCGGTTAACAGGAAGTATAAAAGCCCACAGTGACAATCGAAAATGAAATAATACAGTCCAGTTTTCGTGCATGGGTCACTGAGAGATTCTCACTCCACAATAATGTTTCGCTTGTTGACGTATGAACGAATTAATAACACCGAGTAAGCCATAATTTTCTATTAATTATCATATTTGATATTTGAATACTAGTATAAACATATATGGGAATACATACTTAAAAACATTAACTAAATCAACGTGTTTGTTCGTTTGCTTGTTTGTTCGTTGTTTAAAGCCTCGCTCAGCAAAGTTCCATTCAAAACAGCTGCTTTAAACCTACCGATTCTAAACCAGACAATCAAGTGATTGATAGTGTGTACAAGGATTTACTCCACCCGGGTAATATGGCATGTAATCGAACAAGCCACCAAGCGATTCATTTATTACCTCTAATAACCAACACAGTCTGCTCAGGACCCAACGCTTTGACCAACTTATTTAAAATATTTATCTAAACATTCCTAACCTAAAATACCCCACGAGAGAAAACGAGAGAGAGAGAGAGAGAGAGAGAGAGAGAGAGAGAGAGAGAGAGAGAGAGAGAGAGAGAGAGAGAGAGAGAGAGAGGGAGGGAGGAGAGGGAGAGATAGAGAGATCGGTGTTCATATTAATCAACATACAGTTGGGAGACAGAGAGAGAGAGAGAGAGAGAGAGAGAGAGAGAGAGAGAGAGAGAGAGAGAGAGAGAGAGAGAGAGAGGGAGGGAGAGGAAGGGAGAGAGAGCGAAATCGGTGTTCATATTAATCAACATACAGTTGGGAGACAGAGAGAGAGACACACAGAGAGAGAAAGAGAGAGGGTGGGGTGTTCATATTAATCAACGTACTGTAGGGTTATTTTGTTGTTTTAAAACCTTCAGGTCATATAAATACCTCGCACCATACATCCTGTCACTACATACAACCCTACTGTTAGTATAAGGACTTACAAAGGGGTCTATCAGCTTAACCTCTCTTAACCTGCCAGGAATGCCGTATTAAATTAAATCAATAATGTTCCAACTACTTAAATTTTTATGGCCTTTTTTACGGATGTGGCAGTAACGAGCATGAAAAATCCATATACATCCATTAAATATACAAATACTAGGCATATGTTAGTAGATTGGACTGCCCTGAACATAAACTCAGTAGATCTCATGACACAAATATGAAACACGTGCTAATACGTTTATGGCCAATATGAGGCCTTTAACAATCTGCATATATTTATTATGATAAAAAATATATAAGCCAATTCAAGAGAATAATCGGTCTCGATTATGATCCGGAACAGATTTGATTGTGGTCAAATAGTGATGGAAATGTTACAAATGGCTCATTGAAGTGTGAGTGAAAAGGTAGATGTTTTCCCTATACCAACCAACCGGACAGCTGTTTTTTCTCTGTCAATATATTGGACTTTAGCTGCATATGGTATTTGAACGCATTAGTAAGTTCAGAACACTATATGGCACTGGGTATCCACATTTCTCAAAAAGATATATGCATTTGCGCCGACTATTGTACAAGCCGTTTTCATTTCGTTAAAACGTTCTGGGCCCCGTTCCTCAAAGCGATCGTAGCGCTAGGGTGATCGTAACTCCCATACTTTAACATAGACTTAGGACTGTCGTAGCGCTACGATCGCTTTGAGGAACGGGGCCCTGATCAATGCATAAGATATACATGTTGCATCGTGTGATGGGAATGACTCATACGAACTCTGTGCGCGTAGCCATCTACGTCTGTCGCTGTAAAACACCTACCTGTTGACAGAGTATAAAAAACATAAACAGACCATACACCACCTTTTTCTAGGCATATCACACACGACTAATCGATAAAATGTAAGTTAACGACCCTCGACAACTGACACAACCTGGAGGTAAGACCTTGGTGGTTTGCTAATCCCCATGGGATAAACTTCTTA